ATAATATTTGTAACAAAATTTGTAATAACATCAAAATCAGTCAAAGTCGCAGTTTTTGAGATATTCCGTGTTACCGTAGTCCATTTTTGAGAAAATCCGTGTTTCGCCAAAAAAAAACTCCCATCGGACGCGACCCCAGGTGGCGGATAGGGGAAATAACCGAGGACCAAAATTGAAAAATTTCTTTACTTTGAAACTAAAAGAACTGCCTACCAACTTTTTATTAACATATTTTAGTATGGGCGGCTCTACATGCCTCCCGGCGCCAATTTTTTTTTCTTAAAATAGGTTCAAAAATCACCTCCTTAAATATTAGCATGTCATAAGGAACACCCTGTGTAATCAAAATATTCTTTTGTACAAATCGAGGTTGCTTTTTTAGAGCATTTAAGGAAATAGCAGGTATTGCCCTAAAATACTGAAAATTTCAGCGATTAGGTTTAGAAAAATTTGTACTTTCAGAATAAACACAAGGGGTCCCAAAGTCGAGCCTCATCATAACGATGTCGTATTATTCAATGTTATCACTGACTGATTTTATATTACGATCTACATCTACACAATTTCAAAAACTAGTATTTACTAGCAGTAATAAAAATAATAAAGCAAATTGTGTTTTTTAAGTATATCCAACGTATTTAAATTCAAAATACAAATTTTGTAAGATCTCAGGTGAGATTGGGAGAGGGGGGAGAGGGTCGAAATAAATCTCACGATATTAATGAATTCTTGAAACCTCTGTTTTTATTTGTAACATGTTTTCTTACATCTATTATATTACTGGTAAGAGAACTAGTAATCTACTTATTTTAATTACTTAATAACAGTAGTTTTACCAAAATCGGAGGGTTAGTCAAAGTCACCAATTTTTATGAGTGTTTCTGATTATGGAAAAAATTCGAAAAATTACACATTTTTAAAGGCCTAAATAGTTTGACATTACAAGCATGAATAATTTATTTCGTTTCAAGCGTTCAGTTTATTAATGTTTGAATGACTGAGTTAATGCTGTTTATAAATAAATACTGGATTGTGTAGTTATTCTTGTTAAACCGCAATTTTCATTTCGTGACATCTGAAAGACCCTTTGTCAAACAGAAAACGACATTTACCTTTTGAATTTTTTAACAATTGATTTGCTTGTGAAAGGAATTGGATTATTTTTTAGGATAATTAAATGTAGCAGTAGCGTAATATTAAAAAAAAAATGTGTGTGCACTATGTGACCATATTTGAAGTGAAACTTCTTACTACTTAACAGATATTAAATTAAAGAATTTGAAGGATATGTTGTTTACGTTGAAAAAGCGGAGTTTGAAATGTTGAAAAAGTAATAAATTAAAAATTAATAAATAATTTGGTTCACTTTCACAAAATTTGTATTAAATTAACCGGTCTGCCCGTTTGAGGACTCCATTCGGGTACCTCTATTCACGTGCCGAATTTGGTACCAATAGACACATAATTAAGAAAAATTCTGATGATTTCGTCCATTTAGAGGCATCGGTTCGAAACGTCGAGGTCGTCATTAATTATGCCGAAATCGACCCACATTTTTTTTCAATATCAAATCTTTAGTCCTAGTGATAAAGATGTAAACGAAACGTCTTATCGTTGATTGAAAGAACTTCTTTCAATCAACGGTCTTATGCAAAACTTTGCAGGGCGGAACCGTGTGCACCGTCGCTCACATAGCCTACCCACCAAATTTTGTCGCGATCGCACATCAACTTTTGACGTTTCTTACGTCAAAACTAAGGGAGAGTGCCCACCAAAGTGACATAGCATATGACGTTGCATATATATGGCAATGATATGGCAATAGCCTTGCATGATTTTTCAGGAAGCGCACATATAAGTGATGTGGCAGTGGCGTAAACAAAACTAAATGATGGTCAGTCTGTATCAAACTATTGTTAGATACGAGCCCTAAAAACTAAATGTTAGGACAAACAAAAATTTATTAAAAACTTTATTTTCATTAACTGAATTATTTTACATTTAAGAAATACATTAAAAATATATTAAAATCTAACATTTCTAATGAGTATTTAAATAGTTTAGTTTCTATAAACATTAAAATAAACTGTAGGCCAATAAATAAACAAAAATATTGCACAATATCCTGACAACTAAATGTTCGGATACTTTAAAAAAGAACTGTTCTAATATGGCGTTACATCGGCATGAACTTTTGCAACCACTGCATGTCTGTTTGGCATTCTTTTTATTAATGATTGACATACGCCAGAGTAAAAATTTTGCCATAATTCACTTAATATTATCATCAAATGGGCAACGGTTTCTTGGAGATCGTGACACAATTTTTGTTTTGTTTTATGCCACATGTCTCGATAACATTAAGGTCCAGACTGTGCGAAGGCCATGAGGGGACCTTGATGTTCATGTCCCTAAACCATTTTTTAGTAGTTTTAGCCATATGGCATGCCCCGCCATCCTGTTGAAATATAAAATTCATATCCTGGTAAAGGCCTCTCGCACTTGGCACAAAACTGTTTTTCAAAATTTCTTGATATTTTGACACATTAGTTGTGCCTTTCTACCGCCTCATACCTTCCTAGACCCATTGCGGACATAGACTCGAAAAGCATAATGTCTTTAGGAAATTCCACTGTCCATCTTTCATAAAGATCATGCATGCGTGTAGATGTAATCCTTGAACTTGCAATTTGCGATTAGAATTATCAGCGTCGGATTGAAACTTCTGATGTCACAAACTACAAAAATGACATTAAGGTAAAATATTTAATTATTTTCCAATCCGACGCTAATAATTCCAATCGCAAATGGCAAGTGCACGGATTACATGTGCACATGAGCCACCTTAATATCGATATAATTAACACCGCTAGAGTGTCTATTTGATAAAGATTGCCTCAAAAGGCCAGTGAAATTTCCTAAAGGCATTGTGATTTGAAGGAGTATGTCCAAAATAGGCCCAGAAAAGTATGAGGTGGTAAACTGATGCGTCAAAAAATCAAAAAATTTTGAAAAATATTCTTGTGTCAAGTGGGAAGGACAAAGATCCTTGTAACCAATTGTTCTGGTAAAGACCAGGACAATTATTTTATATTTCAACAGGATGGGCGGGGCATGCCATACAGCTAAAACTACTAAAAAATGGTTTAGGGACATGAACAACAAGGTCCCCTCATGGCCTTCGCAAAGTCCGGACCTTAATGTTATCGAGACATGTGGCATAAAACAAAACAAAAATTCCATCAAAATGTGCAAATGTGCCAATGTGCCACGATCCCCAAGAAACCGTTGCCCATTTGACGATGATATTAAGTGAATTATGGCAACATTTTTACTCTGGCGTATGCCAATCATTAATAAAAACAATGCCAAACAGGCTTGCAGTGGTTGCACAAGTTCATGCCGATGTAACGCCATATTAAAACAGTTATTTTTGAAAGTGTCCGAACATTTAGTTGTCACGATATTGTGCAATCTTTTTGTTTATTTATTGGCCTACAGTTTATTTTAATGTTTATAGAAACTAAACTATTTAAATATTCATTAGAAATGTTAGATTTTAATATATTTTTAATGTATTTCCTAAATGTAAATAATTCAGTCAATGAAAATTAAAATTTTTAATAAATTTTTGTTTGTCCGAACATTTAGTTGTTAGGGCTCGTATATGAGAAAATCAGAAATTGTGCCCAGATTTCGACAACGTGTGTTGTTTTTGTTTTCTGGGCTTACTTGTTGCTACCAATTCCTTCGCAATTTGTTCCGATGCCAAGTCTTGTTTGTTCCTGTTGGAATAATCGGCACGAGTGTGGTCATAAATTCATGGTTTAGTCTCAATTAGTGATACAAAACGTATATTGAAGTCCGGATCGTCCTTCATTTTTGCCAAATTCTAGTAACGTGATAATAGCAAGTGGCGAAAAGTAGAACCAGTTCTATTTTTAAGGGAGAGCGCCTACCAAAGTGACGTAGCATATGACGTTGTACATACATGGCAATGATATGGCAATAGCGTTGCATGATTTTTCAGGAAGCGCATATATAAGTGATGTGGCAGGGGCGTAAACATGTCGTCCTCAGAGGATGAAGATTTGTTAGCATTTGTAAACCTAATCAATATGAACCAAAATTATCCAAAGAGTCGCTATTGGATACGTCCCTTTTGGAAAAAGAGACAAAGTAATAGTGGATTTAGCGTTTTTAAGGAATTGACCAGGTGATCAACCTCAATCAGTGAAACAAAAGGTATATTGAAGTCCGAATCGTCCTTTATTTTTACCAAATTCGAGTAACGTGTTAATAGCACGTGGCGAAAAGTAGAAACAGTTCTATTTTTGAAGCAGTGGCGTGGAATGCTACAACACGTGTCCGATGATAATGACACGTTTCTGATTGATTTGATTTGATTCACTTATTATCGTTCTTTCACTTATTATCGTTCGTTCGATTCACTTATTATCGTCCGTTCAATTCGACGTAACTTGCTAGATGCATGTTACTAACCATATCACGTACCACGTCAGATGTTACGTCACTTTGGTGGGCGCTCTGTCAACTGTCACAGTGACACGTGTCAGTTGGTTTTGGTCCAATTTATCGACATATACCAAATTTCATTTAAACAATTTTATCGCCATTGATGGGGTTTCATAGTGTACGAATCGCCGTCAATATATCATGAAAAATGTCTCTTCGAGCCCCATCTACATTCTGAGTTTTAGCCCGCTAGCTCGCATAGAGGCCGAGTTACGACGCGACGCGTCCAAACAGCTATCTCATCTTCTTCATTGGCTTACCACTTTTTCGGTCGTTACCACTTTTCGTGACGTGTCGTGTCTCGTGTCGTCTCGCGTCTCGTGACGCTAGCTCGTGTGTCACGGCCTTAAATTTCCATTCCCAGCGCGCGTAAAGAAGTTTTATTTCAAAAAATGGGAAAATCAACCACAATGTATTATTAATACTATGAACATTAACAAATAAATATTTTTATTTATTTAAAGGGTGTTGCTGAATCAAAGACTATAAAGGAAGAAACTCTGGAAAAAGAAGGCACCTTCGTTGAAGCTCCACGTATCAAAACATCTAAAGGTAAGTAACAAGGCAAGAAATTATGAAAAATACACTCAGAAATGCTGAAGAAAATCATAAAAACTTAAATTTATCTAGGGAAATATCTTATTGACAAAAAGGTGTTTGAATGGCCTAATAGTATTTTTATTCCATGAGCTATACAGTGTAGATCTATAAAAAGTTGCCTTAAATTAATGCAAGTATTTTAAGGGGTGGTGGATATGGACCAAAGTAACATATTATTCTCTATTTACTATTTTTAATATAATTTGAAGGTAACCGAATTATTTAACTTTGAAAGTCTTAAAAATGAATGCTTACATTTTGATCGTTCAGTCGGCGATCAGCTTTACGAGGTCCTGTGTTGCCACATGGACAAGAAAGTAAAATGCACTTAACTTGATTGAAAATACCTTACCAGTGAAAAAAACGTCAAAGACGGCTTGGGAACGACAATTGATGGTAATTAAAGTCAAGCTGTAGACGTCATTCATTGGCCCGTACTATTCGTTATTTTTTGGCAGCTTTTTCCCGCGACTTCGTCCGCGTGTACCTCGAAGTGTTCAAGAATTTCCTTTTTTTTATGCAGATTTTTTAAATGATCGTTTACCCTTTTAAGGATAGAACTAATTAGCCTTAGAATTGCACTATTTAAACTATGTTTCTAAAATTAATAGTTTTAGAACTACTTCAGATGAAAGTTTTCAATTATTGTCTATTTTCTGGGTATTGTATAACATTTTAAAAAATAGATTTTTTTTTATTTTACAAATTGGTTACTTATAAACGCCGTCAATATAACAACTTCAAGAGCATTTTTATCCTTTTATTTTATATATTTAAAAAAATCTAAAATTTAAAAAGCGTTTTTTATTTTTTCATCCTCTGTATATGACTTTGCGACAAACTTTATTTACACAAAATATAACTTTTTATTATACCGTTCTGAAATAAATATATCTTAATAATTCTGAAAATTATCTAAATCAAGGTATCTATTTCAAAGAAGTTCAATTTTGGTCTCAAAATTTTTTTGATATCTTGATATTTTACAATTTTTTTTATCCTTCCATTGCCTGAAACTAATTATATATGGTTAGATAGAGGGCGACATGCCCTCTTACATGACGGTTTTTTTATTTCTTAATTATGTATAGGGTGTTTTAGAAAGTCATTTACCCTCTCAATGTCTACAATGGTCCTATATAAACTGGGTTTCCAAAATGAATAGTTTTAACATATTTAAGATGAAAGTTTTCCGATTTTCTTGATATACCCCCTTAATTTTTTTTTATTTTTCAATTATTCACCTGAAATGTAATAAAAGACGTCAATATAAGAATTTTAAGAGCACTAATACTCCCTTTATAGATTATTTTATATTCCTATAGGGACGATTTGAATAAGAAATACTTCGTGCATATTATTGATATCACTAAATGAACCCTTGTATAAAACTTTATACTTCTAAATGTTATAGTAAAAATATTTCGTACAGCAAACTTTCATACCCCATTCTACTCCCTAATGGTATGCATATTCTAAATTCGTTAGTCCTTAAAGCCTTTATGGTTCCTTATGGTTAGTATATGGTTTATGGTTAGTATATGGCTTTATGGTTTATGGTTAGACCATAAAGCCTTTATGAGGCCTTATGGTTCCTTTATGATAAAGGAACCATTGTGCCAATTTTTGTGTGTATAATCCAGCGGTCACGAAATTTTATACACATTTTTACTAACAGTATCCATTTAGTTGATGAATTTCAAAAATATCTTTTGTTAATTAAAAGTGTTCTTCATTTAAGGATCCTTTCTTTTTAAAGGCAAATTAATAAAATTGCGTTTATCTCATCGAGGAGGCCGAAATCGACAAAATATCACAAGACAACTTTTAATCGCCATTAAACTGCTTACACTATTTCGCTTACAAGTGAAAAAAAGTACTTTCACTTACAAGTGAAACATAAATCATATTTTTACATAAGGAATCTTCCCACGAGAGATGGCACATGTTTTTTGAAACACCCTCTAAAATATATATGGATATGGATTGCGTAAAAATTGTTTTTAAATGGTGTGGTTTAAAATTCGAGAAAAATAATTTTTTGAAAGTGGATTTGTCTATCGGAAAACGTTTTATCCTTTTTTAATCTTTTATCATTTTATATGACCTCGTTTTTTTCGATCATACGGTATTTATGATAGGAGAATAAGAAGATATGAGAATCTGCAATAATTGCTAAAATTTATTCGCCAAGTTTAGTTGAAAATAACTGTTGTAGAAATGTAATAGTTTATCATTTATAGTATAGAATGTGTAGAAAATTAAAATTGCAATGAACTTATAGAATTGAACTTGTAGAGTTGAACTTGTATTTTTGCAAAAAAACATATGTGTGTTTTTAGGGTCGAACCATACCACCAGATAAAATACTTGCATTTATTTAAGAGTTACCTTGTATAATATGGATACGAATAAATCCGTGTACGTCAAAACAAAAATCCTTTTCCCGAATCCAGAATCCTTATCGGTGTGGAACAGTGTGGATTCTGTCAGCGTTCGGGAGTCCCTGGTGACGGGAAAATGAGCCTGGATAGCGGGGCGCTTTAATTTTTAGGTTAGATAAACAGAGGGGGACTTCAGAGTGAGGAAAAAACAACGTAGATCGTAAGTGTAGTTCTGGTTCTTTGGTTCTGGGTATGCAGAATGAGTGGAGAAATAAAATATTTTTAAAGGAGAGCAGCATATATTATATTTGAGAAGTTGTAAATCCTTTAATTTTAAAAGGACTAAATAGTTAGGACAAAAAGGATTTTTTTATTGATATTGGGAATTTCTCTGGTAAACAATGAAATAAAATGGTCTGGGAATGGAGAATAAGGAAGAGAAATAAAATATTTTTTAAAGGATTGTAGGTTGTTTGGGAGGGGGGAAGTTAATCACCGAGACCTTAGAGATCTATTGTGTTCCCCTTTTTTGAGTTATAACTCGTCATACTTTGATTTTTCTCGGTTGTAAGTCCTGAGAAATTTCTTTGAGTATCTTAGACCGTTGGAGGATTTCCATTCCAGGTTACAGATGGAGACTTCCAGGTTCCTGTAGAATGTAAAATGAGTAAGTGTACGTTCACACAGAAAGCGATTAAGCGTTGGGCGATGCTATGCTATGCAATGCTATGCCTTTATCGCTTGCTATATTTTCATCGTATTCAAACAGAAGGCAATGGAAAACGATTTAGTTAGTAGTTTGATGTGCAACAAGCACCATGGATGCTACAAACGTGATATTAGAGAATTCGCTTTTAAGATACGTTTTTTTAAAAAGATTAACAAAAAGAGGCAATGGATACATGAAATTAATCGAGATCGGGTTATATACGGCGAATTTCATCATTTGTTTCCCGAATTAATCATTTACCCTGATAAATTTCGACAGTATTTCCGAATGTCATTAGAGACGTTTAGGTATAAGTATTGAAAATGGTGTAGCGCCATTACTGGAAAAGGCGACTACAAATTGGAGGTTGCCAATCAGTGTCGAAGAACGCCTTGCAGTAACTTTAAGGTAAGAAACAAAATAGATGCTAATTATTATGCTGTTCACTTAGTTTATTACTTTATTTACATATTTGTATAAGAGTGGTTTGTGTCTGAAGAATAAGAAGGCGAAACCAATGGTGTTCCAACAGCTTCGTTTGTTTGAATCTGTTGAGGTTGCACCGTAATATTATTTTGATAACGTATATCGGCCATCGTGGCTTCGTAGAGTGACTCCTGCATCTTGAGCGATCTAAAGACGCGGGCGATTAAAAACAAACATGTTTGAAAATAGCATCGAAAGCTATGCGATGCGATGCTATGCGATGCGACGTGTCGCGTTTATTTTAAACTCATAATCTTTAGTGAGGGTGTTCAAAAAGCGTGCGAGTTCGCGCGATGCTATTGCAATGCGATATCGCGCGTCGGTTTGATTTTCAAACATGTTTGTTTTTAATCGCCCGCGTCTTCAGATCGCTCAAGATGCAGGAGTCACTGTACGAAGCCACGATGGCCGATTTACTTTATCGAAATAATATTACGGTGCAACCTCAATAGATTCAAATACACGATTGGTTTCGCCTTCTTATTCTTCAGACACAAACCACTCTTATACAAATATGTAAATGAAGTAATAAACTAAGTAAACAGCATAATAATTAGCATCTATTTTGTTTCTTACCTTAAAGTTACTGCTATTAAGACACTGATTGGCAACCTCCAATTTGTAGTCGCGTTTTCCAGTAATGGCGATACACTATTTTTAATATACCTAAACGTCTCTAATGACATTCGGAAATACTGTCGAAATTTATCAGGGTAAATGGTTAATTCGGAAAACAAATGATGAAACTCGCCGTATATCACCCGATCTCGATTAATTTTATATATCCATTTCCTTTTTTTGTTAATTTAAAAAAAAACGTATCTTAAAAGTGAATTCTCTAATAATATCAAGTTTCTAGCATCCATGATGCTTATTGCACATCAAACTACTAACTAAATCGTTTTCCATTGCCTTCTGTTTGAACACGATGAAAATATAGCAAGCGATAAAGGCATAGCATTGCATAGCACAGCATCGCCCAACGCTTAATCGCTTTCTGTGCGAACGTGCACTAAGAGGGGGGTTAATCACCGCGACCTTAAAGATCAATTGTGTCCCCCTTTCTTAAGTTATAGCTCATAATATCTTAAGTTATAGCTCATCATGTTCGTTCTCCAAGAAGTGGGCATCTATCTCCTACGAGGGTATACACCCTTTCACGGTTGGGGTTTAGCCCTCCGTGCCCTTCACAGTCGAGGAGCTTGTCTCCGGCTGAGGTACCTGTGAGGTGGAGGCTGGAGGATCTGTTTCCATTTTCTCCATGTCTTTAATTTGGTCGCTCTTTAGACCTGATACCGGTGTTGTCCCGAGTCTATAATAGAGAATATATCCCTATTTCTCTATTTCCTCTTTGGATTTGAGGGCAATTACAC